CCAGGCCTCCTCCGGAATTAAAAAGTACTATATTCTTAAAACGTCGATAAATTACTCTGCTAGCCTGGCCAATGCAAATGAGTCTTTCAGGACCTCCGCTCCTTCGCAAGACCCCTCTAACACGTAGTCCCCCAAGTGTAGGGTCGGTCGCTCGAAACTTTCGGAGCGCCGATGTAATCCTCCAACCATCTGCCGCGGAAGAAGCAGCAGAACCATGCTGGTGAAATGGAATAGAGCTGTGGCTGGAATCCATTCGACGGACCATCCTCTCCAAAATTCATGGGTTCTCATACGTACATTGCAACACTAAGGCAGAGCGGAGCACAGTTTTGCAAGTGTTCTGCAAAGAAGGCAACCATACATCAAGTGTTCCGGGGGGCTCCTCGAAAACAGTATGATCACAGAGGCATAGACGACGATGATGTGATCAGTGCTCTAAGGCGCACGTTCAAAAAAAAAGCTCCAATACCAGCCCTCTCCAATTACAACATCGTCAGCGGCTTGAGACCGGGGAAGCAATCCAACTGTCCTGGGGGCAATTTCTAACATCGTCATTTAACCTCAACCCGACACGTCTCCAGCAGCAGAACCATCAAAGGCCGACTGCTGACCGCAAGCGCCTGCAGCCTGAAATAGGGGCCTAGATGATTAGAACAGGTTCTTGCGGTACATACAAACTATGAAGGGGGGGCATACTCGTTATTCAGGCCTCTACATAAGACTCGCAGAATCCTTGGACCAAGAGGCGTGGTGTGGCTCCCGGGCATCCAACCAGGCCTGCACACAGGGGAGTCACCCGAAGCCACATGAACATCCTACAACCCCACAGATTCTAACCAGGGAGCCCTGAAGCATTCAACAGTCCCGGGCGCGAGGTTTGGGAATGGAGGATATTCGCAGTTTGGAACGGAGCTGGGGGGGTAGCTAGCTGGAGCGCAGGATGCGCGATGCTGACACCTCAACGCAACCAGGACAAAAAACGTAGACTTGCAACAGCCTACCTGTTATTTCCAGCTAAAGACTTCAGAAACTGATACATGCCCCATTAGGGAAGGGGGCCCACTTGACCACCCGGTAAAAGGAGGAGGCAGTAGGAACCGCAGCAGCAGCAGCAGCAGCAGCAGCTGCAGCTGCAGCTGCAGCCGTGGCGGCGACAGTGGTGGTGGCCGTCGTCGTAATACATACCTAAAAGCTCGTTAGTTTAACTACACTAGCTGTCATCACTGTGATAACTCTACACATCCTCAAGGTTCCAGGTACATCAAAGCAGTACCACGGCCAATTCGTCAGGAAGATATGGTGGATAACTCGACTCTGAATCAACGTTCCCAATGCATGTTTGCAACTGTGCCGCAGTTAGGCCCAATTGCCTACTGCCAGCTGGGGACAAAATTGTTGCAACACTCAAAACCCAAGCAAAGGCACGCTGGAACCGCAAAACCAAAGCTACTGGCAGCCCTGCTTGCTGCTGTGGCCTCTACATAGTTGCAGAGCTCTTCATGCTCCATGGCATGCCTGTGTTTTGTGACGTAGGGTCTGAAGATCTAGGGTCAAGGTCTTCTGTTTGTGGATGATACAGCTTGCTGGTTTTCCTGGTCGTGTTTAGGGTCTGTCTATTGTTGCTGAAGGGTGGATCTTCGTGCTGGCTCGTAGGACTAAATCTATGCATCTCAACAGTCTAGGCCCCTGAGAACGGTCAGGCTCTGCAGAGGTATCGTTGGAAGGGCGTGGGTAGAGATCATACGCCGTTTTTGGGGTCTCTGGCTCGAGCAGGGTTTGAGACGATTCCAGACCCTGCCTCCTTTGCATATTATCGCATCTTTCAACTAGTTGCCCAATCTCAGATCCCCTGGGACAGCTAAGTGCTGTTTACAGGCCCCCTTCCAGGAAAACGAGAACCGTTCCGACTATCAAAAGCTGGAAGTGCCGGCTTCTGGGAATTTAGGCACTTTTGGATTTAGCATCTCTGAGCTTAGATTTGAGATTGCAGAATCAAAGCTCGACGTGACTCTGGCCGTCGTCTCTGAATAGTAGTCTGAAAGTGTAGGGGTTTGGAAACCACCCAAGACCCATGAACGCACACCTTACAAGTTAGGAATGAAGAATCCAAGAATATGCTTGCTTCCAAAGAATCCATGGGAGTCTTTGATTGTTTCACGCATCCATGAATCCTAACTAAATACTAAAGACCAAGGAGAAGATCCAACAAACACACGCACTTGAAACTGTTCTCAACACCGAAGAGTTGAAGGAGCTCTGCGCCCATCTGCTTCAAGCAGCATCATATTTGCTTGATATGGGTTGTGAACTTTAAGTTGTCATCATAAGTGAGGACCAAGTTGCGGCCATGTGATCTTGATGACTGTTTTCTTCACGGTTGTTTTCGACAAGAAATTTGTTTCAAAAGTTGACAACAGAAGATTCTTCCCGGAGGAATCATCAAGTGAACACCCATCACCATCGTTTAAAGTTTAGCCACCCTCAGCAACAACACACCAACACCACATGCAGTCTTCAAAATCTCTGTCTTCAACTCCAAGCTTCAGACACCAAAGCCATCATCTGCTGTGAGTGTTCTTTGTTGTATCCCAAATTGCTTGGCACCACCATCCACATCCAAACCCCATAAATCCGCAAATCTCATTTTAAAATCAAAGTTGGCAAGAAATCGGACAGCCACTCTTCTGACTCAAGCCAAGGTAAGTTACTTCCATCCACCTCCGTAAGCACCCATGAAACTCCAGCTAAGCCCCCCGGAGCTTTCACCCGCTAAACGCCCCTAAGTCTAAGCCCCTCCATGCCTGCACCAGATAGTCCAGTGCTCGGCTCCAGGAGGCAGCTGGTAGGGGAAACGGTTCCGCTCCAAGAGCACTTCGCGACTGCCATGGGGAGCAGGTTGGCTTGGGAGAAACGAAGAGGGTTGAGCAAAGGCTTCGTACGGTGGAGTTGGGGGTCCGGAGTTAAGGCTAGGATTTTGAGGTTTGTGCTTGCAGGTGGTTTTTATGGACAGCCAAAGCTCTGTCGAGTTTGAGCAACGGAGTTAGCGTGGAAAGTCTCTCAGTTATGGCTGGTGGCGTCTAGTTGCATTTGAATTTGGGCGTTCAATGCCCAATTTCCCCAGAAAGTAAAAGCAGGATATCGGATCATAGCACAATCAAATGGGAGTTTCCAAATCTATGCCAAATCGAGGGGTCCCTGTTGTATATAACAATTCCCAAAAAATGGCCCTCGTTTCTGAAAACTCTCAGATATCTTCTTCACCTCTCTAGTCCCAAGCCTCAATCTTGTTGCAAGCCGTCAAACCCTTGGTCAGGTGTTTCCACTAGCCTCAAACCAGTCCCGAATCTTCGACTCTGTAGGGTCTGTGTAGGTTGGCCTTTTGTGTATCATTTTCTACTCTACGGGCTTGTCAAGCACGGCCTGTAGACGGGTTGCCAGACGGCACCATGAATGGAATACACGAAAGAACCCTCTAGGCATTACAATGTAAGATTCAGTGGAGGGGCTGATACGTGTCCAACCAGCTTCAGATGGGGCGCAGGCCTTCCGAGGACGTACTTGTCCACGTAGAACTCCTGGGCTTTCAGGTGCAAGGTTTGGGGTTAACGCATCTCTGTTTAATCTTCGAAGCTTAAAGCTTTGGCTCAAAATCCTGAAGCCACAGCCGCTCCTGCGGTGTGCTGGACACGCATGTTGGATTTTCATTCATCTGGTCGATGCTGACCCTTGAGGGTTGGCTTCCTACGCCTACCTTAGATGCTAGTTCCCTGGAGGATGGTGCCAAGGAATTTCCCGTTTTGTGCATGTGCCCAGGCCGACCCACCCAGGCTTGCAAGGCAGAGTTGCCATGTTTAGGGAGGTGCCCTTGCCCGGAAACGATGCGGAAAATGGCCAGATTCTTGTGAGAAGTCATAAATAAAGCATCTAAATCAAGACGCTTCCAAAGCAATCGCAAGATATCCGTTCTTGCCTGGTCGAGGGATTTTTGTTGGCTAAGCGCTACGCACATGAGCTCAGGTGCTCTGTAGGAACCAGATCAAAACTATCCTACGTCCTATACAGTTCAAGAACTCCTTGAAATCCTTACAACTCCTTAGCTTCGGGCTCTGTCACCCTTGTAGCGGCGATCCAGGTATGCGAGCCTGACCATGACAAGCCAAGCACGCTGCCACATAGATCGCGCGGCTTTAGGGTTTTGGGTTGAAGGTATCGGGCTTAGCGGCCTGGGTTACACTTGGACAAGAAAACCATTGCTCAGCCCTTTTGAACCAGAAACGTCAACAAACTTTCAGCCTTTCAACCTCTGCAGGACAGATGAACAACTTCTTCATAAACTGAAACGGCGATACTCCAAACTCCAGATGGAAAGGGTCCTCATGGAGATCATCATTACCCCGAAGCAACCCAGCCCTTGTACTACCAGGAACCCCCACAAACAGGCCCGTAATTTGGAGCAAACCTCAACAATGCTCCACGCATGCAGGCTAGCCGAAAACACTGGTATTTGCTGTGTTTCCTGCTTTCTGCGCTTTAGCATGTATGTATTTGTCTTTCCTCACCATCACACGAAATCCGGAAGCGGAACATGTTTTAGCAAGTGGGTTTCATAGCCCTTCTCGAACCATAAATGCAACGAAATCTATTCAACTCCTTGATTCATGCGAGAAGGGGGGTGAGAATACCTCTATCTATCTATATACACATGCATTCACAACCTGAAGCCTTAAACTCCCTCAACCCTAAGTCACCCTAAACGGTACTAATGCTCAAAAATATCTTTACATGAGCACATCAAACAATGTAGAATATCTTATGATCAGATGCATACAAACTATTTTCAACTCGGCCTCGCATTCTTTCTCCTAGTGACTGCGTCATTTCGCTTCCACGGCCTGAGCGTGAAAGTCTTCAGCGCCGAGAGCTTGGGATTCAGTTCTCAATGTCTAGGAATCCAGGGTTGGGGTTCAGGGTCTGGAACTTATGGGGTTTCGAGGGATTCCCCTGCAACAAATACTTTGGGAATATATTGGGAATTGCTTGCGACCCTAAGCAGGACCCATCTTTTTAGAAACTACCAGTCGAACGTTTCCTAAAGGTCTCCTTATATACACCCAAAGATACTATAATACCCTGTAATGAGAAGGACTCCCACACAAAGGATCAACAAATTTCCGAAAGCCTCATTGGTGAACTGTCTGTGCTACCACTGCAATGTCTTTATATGATCGCTACAGCACTGCTATCTTTTGATGTGAACGAGACTTCTCATAACTGTTTACTGCTGCTGTTGCTGCGTGGCAGCATAGGAACACACAGAGTGTCTTCATTAAATATTGGGATTTCAGGTTGATGAGGGCCAACGTTTCTCGGATTTGAGACGAACCATGATAACACACCAGCTTCGCTTAAAGTCGCTGCCTCTGCGGCTAGTTATTCAACTTCTTCAAGCTCTGCTTGTCAAATTGGTTGTGACGCTGCTGATATCACGGCAGCGCTCTGGCTAGCCTTGCTTGGGATGGATCGCAGGGTAATCAAGTGGCTATGCATGCTCTTCTGAGTGCATCTGTCATGCTACTACTCCGCCGATTTTTCCGGCCACACTACCTGGCCATCGCTGCTAATTACTGAACTACACACGACAGCTCATGGCAATTGTCGGCGGGTTCTTCTTGTCGGAGGGGTGGGACGCTTGCAGTTCCTTCTGGAGACCTGGGGCCTAGGACATTTCTTCCTACTTCCGGGATGAGGTCAGCGCCCGATACGCAGCTTGCGCCGCGATCCTGCCGAGGGCGATGGAGATCTGGCGCCATCCGGTGCCTTTTCAGCTGAGTGTTCAGCGTGCGGCACGACCACTAGGATTTCTTCGGGTTGAAGAGGGTCTAGAAGACGGCAGCGAGAATCTAGGTCCAGGCGAAAGCCAGGAGAACCATCAAACCCAAGAATGCAGGTGTATCAGAGAGGGACTAAGAAAGATGAAATCAACGAAGACGCTTTCGGCGGCTTGATTCTACAAGCCTCTGGCCCATTAAGGTACGAACTACTCCAGGCAAATACCACCCTCGACCCAAAATCCTGAGAACCTGAAACACTAAACGCCAAACCCTGCAACCAGAGCTGGCACCTCGCCATAATGCTTCATCCCGGGGCGCACAGCCGGGGGTCGAGTGCGTGGAGCTGGGTAGAGGTAGAGATCCTGGCAACAAGGAGAAGTGTCAGGTCTAGGATGTGGGGTTCAGGGCCTCGGGTTTAAGGGACGATGGCGTAATGATGCAGCAGCAGGGGACTCCTGGGATGTGTGGGGTGTCGGAGTTTCAGATCAATATCTTACCAAAAGGTGTTGCGGTTTTCACTCATCTTTGCAATCCCCATCCAGCATCTAGGGGTTTGCTGATTCCGCTTTCGAAGGCCTTGGCTTGGGGGCTTAGGTTTCGGGATCTTGGCAGTGAGGGACGCTTCATTGGGCAAACTGCTGGCTGCTGGCTGTAAGAGAGGACCAGGACCAGCATTCTGGGCTCGTGGAAGCATACAAGAACAAACAAGAACTGCTGGAGTTGCAGGTCCACTCTTCAACCCTGCCAACACTTCTAAGCCCTAAACCGTAAACCCCAAACCCCGAATCCAACCCACAGTCTGAGAGGATCTTTGGCGGTGCGGGAGGCTCAGGAGTGCAAAGGACTCTCAAGAGCCTTGCTTCTCGGGTAACGCGTTGAAGCTGCCGGTTCTTAGGCTTATCTCGTCAACAAGTGGGCATCCTTACATTGCCCTCAAGATTGCATAGTCCTGGCTATGAATACACCCAAAGAGCCCCACATCTGAAAACCCTCAATCCTACGTATCCCCGAATACCTGAAAACCTCCCCGAAAATCTCCCGGTATTTCCTATCATGCTCCTCATTTTCTCACCAGTCCTCCTTTGCTTCCTCCAGCTCTCCGGAACCTTGGCGGAGAAGCGCAGAAGCTGCCAAGCAGAGCAGTGAACCCAACGCAATGTTGCTTTCAATCACGGGGCCATGAGATCTTAGGGATTTTGCCGATTCTGTAGATTCACGGATTAGTCCTCTGGACCATGGAGAGTATGGGGTATGTCCCACCATAGGCATGAGTCTTCAGAAGGCTCAAACTGTTGCGTGCTAAACCTTGCTAGAACATCTGAAGGGGCTGTAGGGCTCCAAGCTGTACTTATCCCTACAGACTCACTAGTGCCGGAAGCTGAGAAGTGTCCCCGCATGCCCAACATCCAGATTACACCTCATGCCGGTCATGTGATTGTCGGAGTGCTCTGGTTCTTGGAGTTGCATTAAAGAAACCCAAAGTCCGCGCACTACATCAGATAGGAGCCCCACTCTCCGACCAGTTCTTCATGCGCTCCGCGACGTCCACGATTTTGCTCAGCTCCTTTGGGGTTAGGAAAATTTGAAGGCTGTCATTGCGTTTTGAAATGTTTCTCCAAATGAGGACTGTCTCGCTTCTGTGATGCGTGATAGAATTGAAGAACTACTCACCTTCATACAGGATGTGGGGAATAGGGTCTAAGTCGACGGCGCAAGGGCAAAGGAGCATTGTAAAGCAAGGGCACCAAACTGCAAACCCTTGAGCTTACATTGCGAAGTCTAGGGTCTGGAATGTTAGGATTTGGGGACTTGGGGCTGATGTAGGCTTGTCAGGGCTTAGGTAGGTTCCCAAGCCCATGTCCATGTGACATCCAACGTAAGACCGTAAGACGGTAAGACCCTAAATGAATCCCACGTAGGCGCCTGAAAGCTTTGCTCGAGGACCTGACACTTGTCGAGGATGATCTTTTCTGGGCAGAACCTGGCAGCTTGGAGGGCCATGTGTAACCACAGGTTCTTGGTAGGGAGTATTGGAATATGTTATACAGGGATTATATTGGCCTGATTCCCTACTAAGAACCACCACTGAGATAAACCAAGTGTCCATGCCGCTTTCCCTTTGCTGTTCAATACTTATTTAGGCCTCTATTGTATGGGGATAGTGTAGTAGTGGTATGCAAAGACAACTTGGAAATTGGATGTGCAGACAACTACTCACCTGAGATCCCTGGCACAGGACACATGGCCAGTCTTCTCAACTACCTGTGTACGCAAGCTTTGGTTGCAAAGGCTCAGTCGCAAGCCTCAGCCTTGCTGGGCAGCAATGCATCAGTCTGCTGAAGAGATTCTAGAGGGCAAGAATACTTATCTTCCACAATGCAAACATGAAGTGGCACTGGAACCACTGGCCAAGCTGCGTGCGAACTTCAGTCATCTGATAGGAGAAGACCAAAAAGCTCCAACGCAAATCCTATGATTAGCCGCATCTTCATCTGGGGGTCCTTGTCGTCTCCCTACTGAAGGACTGAGAACAACTGAATATTTCCTTTTCAAGAACCTGAGCCTGAAGATTGAGGCACCCCTCAATTCGACATCCAGATTTTTTGCACTCCCCTGTTCTTCCAAGACAACGCCAGGAGCACTGCCCGGTTCTTCGTTGCTCGAAGCCCCGGTTGCGGTTGCGGAAAATGGAGATCTGAGAGCGCAGAAAAGGAAATCACTCACCGCCACCACCACAGCCAATACCAGTACAAAGACTACTACCTTTCTTGCACGAGGGGTGAGGGCATAACAAACAAGCTTGGAGGCTTCAGATAAATCAATCAAGGCATACTAGTGCACAGTAACAGCTGTCCATCTTGGACGAATACTAATGGGCGGCAAGGGAACCAGGCTGCATATGGTCCGGGGCAGCACAGTCTGGAGAGGATGTGGAGGAAAGCTCTGTTCACAGCACTCAACAGCAAAATCAGCTCATCCTTAAACATCTTACAAACAGATAGACCTAACCTAACGTCGGGACCATTCCTGCAAGAGCTACATGCAAAAGGAAAAACCTTCAATCCTTAACCCCAGTCCTCAAAGGGGACGTCGACCCACAAAAGCTCCGTGAAGAAACCTCCAGGAAGGATGGGTGGATGACATCGGTTTGAGGCTTTGGGTTCAGGGCTTGAAGTGCTTAGTTTTCTTCTGCGGTGTTCAAGCTTTTCCCACGCCAGGGATCCTCTCGGGGTTGGGTACGCGGGCATCTTAATTTGGCTTGGTGCTGTGTTCTGGAAGGCGCAGTAATTATCTAACTTCACAGGCGCACGCTAGCCTAGACATGAAGCAGGACTTTTTAGAAGTTGGTCTATATGAAGCTCCAGACAAGCATACATACTTCTGCGAGCATACTGGCACCTAATCCCGCGCACACATGGTCGAGGGTGCGTGAGGATAGAAGTCCCGAAGCTCTCCTGAAGCTCTCCAAGGCTAGAATCCAGAGCCCTCAATCTGAGGATCCTGTAGCAACGTTTGCCAGGATCCGGCTAAGACGAAACACTCAATACCCTGAAGACTAGCCTCTACAGCTGTACTTCCTCCAAGAAAACGTTTAACCCCAGGGCCTAGCCCTGCACGTCTAACACCGGGAACCTCAAAAGACTTGCAGGTTATGATCAAAATCTGGCGAAGCCCCTCAAACCCTCAGCCACCTCGCCGCTTCGCGAGTTCAATCCGCCGCCGCAACCAGGAGGCATTGGAGCCCGAAGAGTCGAAGACAATGTCTCGAAACCTGAGAGCAAGTTTGGCTTTGAGGTTTGGGTGTTGGGGTTTAGAGAGAGTACGGCTGCTGGGCTTGGGGCCTAGGGGGTTTGCACGCAAATAACAGCCAACATTCTGCTATTGAATCAGATCCTGCATTAGTAGCTTTGCACCCAGAAACGTGAGGCCCTCTCCCGAACCTCAAATCCTCAAAGCCTGCGACAAACTGTCATTAAGCGAATTGACTATGACTATGACATGCCCATCGCATGTCTGTCATCTCTACTGCTTTTCATTGCATGATTATGCTTGCTTCTCCTGCACGCTTCTCCTGTACACGGCAGTTTTAACAATCCTTCTGTCAATTCATTACACACATGTGAAGACAACTCTCTCGCCAGGTCAATATGTTGCCCCAGTCCAGCCTGCCGTCCCTGACCGCATCCTCGAAGTCGTCCACCGAGCGCCTTTCAAAAGGTGCGCGTCAAGGCTTCAGTGCTGCAGCAAGGTGGAGATGTTGGCGCTTTCAGTTCTCTTACTCATGCTTTGTAGCTTAGCACTGCTCCAAACTAGCTCCTTGGGATGCCGACTTCAGGGTTGTTTTTGCTTGTTGCTGGCGTAGTTAAGGTGGATTTTGCTGATAGATGCGGGTTGTTTGACTACTTTGTATGCTTGCCTTCCTAGAGTTGTGTGCTTGCTGCTCAAGAGGGCTTTGAGATGTTCAGGTCTGGGTTCAAGTCTTTAACATGCTACCATGCCGTGAACCACTAAACTGGGAACGGTCATGCTTATCTTTCAGTGGGTGGACTGAAGTACATCAATCGAACCTACCGTAAGTGTTGAAGGCATCCCTGACTCTGACATTACAAAACTTTAAGCATGAGAGCAGCAATGCGAGGCACCAGCAGCTTCACAACCCCGAGACGGGCAGGAACCAAACACCAGAAATTGCATGAATCCCCTGCATCTGAGTCCATACCGCCAAAATCATGCCTTGCATTCTGAAACCCCAAGCAACAACCGAAAGCATGAACTCCGTAGCAGCGCGGCTCCTCTGCAACCCTACTTAGACGCCTCATACCTTGAAAGCAACAGAGTCTCAAGTCTCCAGGCCTATGCGTACAATCCTTTCGCGTGTATGAAGGACTAAATGGCGGGTTTCCGAAGATTAGGGGGTGCCTTGAAAGGGGTTACAGGGGTAATCTAGGGGATATATGCGGTTTTGGGTTTTTGCACTTGTGAAAGCCAAGAAGTTGCAGGCTGGCCTCACGCTCCAGCGGTGAACTTCCTCGTCAGTTTCCTTGCGGTTGGCGCAAGCTTTCTGGCATTTTTTCATGCGGCCTTCTTAGGCTAAAGGGGATGCCAAAAGCTGGCACCCTTTTACGCCTTCACCCCCCACTTAATTTCCTTGGTGCCACGTGGTGATTCAAGACAACGGCCAGGCCACGCCCTCTGAAGCTCTGAGCCACAGCATAAAGGGAAAGAGATCGGCAATAGCAGCACCCTGCCGCCCCATTCTGAATAAGTAGTCTGCTTTGCGGCCGTCATCGCTCGGGAATGCTAAAGCCCAATCCCGTTCTTCTAACAACCTGCCGCAAGACCGTCAGACCAACGCGGAGTCCTAACGCCACATCTGACCTCCCTCTTGACCCTGAACCATCCCATCACCTTCTATCCCTCCAGCAGCCAGACCCCAAGCAACCTCAGACACCTGCCTCTCCCATGTCAAGGGAGTAGCGGGGATGACGGCCTTGTCAGTCAGGTCAAGATGCTCACTCCAAAGTCTCCAAGCCGCTGCGCTTGGGCTTCGGGTTGATGGTTCAGAGTCTCCGGCAACAAGGCCGAGCTTCGAAGTCTGGAGTTTTAGCATTTTGCGCACAAGGGCCCCGAGGTTGGGCAAAAGCAGGTTTGGAAACCGGGGAAGAAGCTTGTGGACTCCTGAGGAATACGAGAACTAAGCAAGCCAGAGAAAGAGAAGCAAAGTGTAAGCCCCTTGCACTTGATCCTGTCTGGCTCGATGTCTAACGCATCTGCGCCCAGGCGTTGCCTCTTGACCTTGGTCTCAAGACATGGCTCAAAGTTTAGAATATAAGTGTATAATACAGGGTGATGTAGGGATAATGGAAAAAATGATGGAAACTACTATTTCGGGTTTAGGGGGCTTAAGAGTTTAACTGAGCTATCCGTAGTCAAAACTCCTGGTATCCCCCTTAATACACCCTAGAATACTCCCCTGTAATAAGTCCAATGTATAGTCTCCTTTAAGGGTTTAGACTGTAGCTCACTTTGGGTTTAGGGCAGGTTAGCGATCCCACGGTTGTTGCCAAGGCTTTCCTCTTGGTGGGCACAACACCCATTGAGTGCTAGGAGTGCTCTTGGTAGGTGCATGTCCAATGCATCCAGGCTAGGGCCAGGGAATTTTGTAGGCCATAGTCAAAGGAAGAACTTGGTAGAAGACCTTCCACTTGTACCTGCTGTTGTCTCACTCCCACAGTGAGCCCTCCGAGATCCTGAACATGTCAAACTGTGTGAGCTCAACCCTTCCACCCTACTACCACCTACGGCGTCTCTCCACCATACTATTCAAGAGAGGGTACGCGCATAAAACTCTTCTTGGAACCTTGTATGCGTCAAATCTCTAGATGCACCCCTTCCTCCAGAAACTCTCCAAAATATGAAATTTGGCCCCTGGGTCTTCCTCGGGCCCGCTCAGTGCTCTTCCCTGCGCCAGGTAGTCCCATCAGGAAAAGTGCACGAGGGCGGCTCCCGGCTTCTGGCAGCACGGCTTCTTGGCTTATGATTTTTCAGGAGTAGGATCTCGCTGAAGGAACACAAGTCAAGCCACTGAGTCCCAGCTCAATGTCGCAAAGTGTGTACAGCAATCCTAGAACACTGCGCTCTCTCTCCCGGCGCTACCCGGAATCACTCAGAACGGGAGGCCTCCTTTTCGCCATCCCAAACCAACCCCCTTCTGCAATCTCTTACAATCTCTAGAGGCCTCCCCTACATGGCCCTCAACGAGAGTCCTAAACACTACATGCGCTTCAACTGACTGGTGGTTAGCAGGGGATGGGAGCAGGGGATCCCTGTCGTAATTCCTAGAGTCCTAGAGAATCGCTTATTGTGGTCCCTCCTTTCCTCCCAAAGAGCCACCAATTAGTCAAAGGGGGATGACCCATCAACTTTCTGATAACTCCTTGCCCCAAATGACCCTGCGCGCCATGGCCGCCGGGGCCGCGCAGCCTTGGGTTTGGGGGCTT